GGATTTTGTTTTTTTATCCAATCTGCTACTCTCTTTCTCTTCAGTGGTGCGTTTAAACCATTCACGTTCAGTGTGACTATTGAAAGGTTAGGTTTTATTGTTATCATTGTGTTGAGTTCTTTTTGGTGTTGTTGCTAGTTACTTTAGACCATGGAGCTTTCTGTGGTATATTTTTCTGTCTACAAATTTAAAGAATTCCAAGACCATTACACTGGTTTTCTACTTATTTAATGGAGTTCTTTTGAATGTGAATTAATGGACTATGGTTTTTAAAAACTAAGCATTCTTTTGTTATGATAAGAAGTGATGATTTTGCATACCAAACCAGTCAGTTCAGTTTGAGTTAAATATATTGATCATGCTAATTATAATTTTTGTGTCATAATTCTGTTTGCTAACATTTTTCTCTTTCCTTAATTTTTTAAAGTTATAAATTCCCAGACAGTTTTCTAGAGATGACCTCACAAATTGTCAATGGTACAATGAGTTTATATAAAGAAGCAATGAAGAATCTCTTGCCTACTCCAGCCAAATCACACTACTTGTTCAACCTCCGTGATTTCTCCCGGGTTGTTCAGGGTGTGTGTTTGTCAAGACCAGAAACAGCAGAAACCAAGGAAGTGATTAAACGTCTTTGGGTTCATGAGGTAAAATGACATGATATTAAAATGTGAAATGAGTTTATGTGAAAAGCAAAGGTCAAAAAAATGTGTGTGTATGTATGTATACAAACACACATGCACATATATTAAAAAATGTCAGGATAATAGCTTAATATTTATAAAGTAGACTGAGAATCTGACTCAGTGGGAGGATTGAAAGGTTTTGAATCGAAGCCAAGAACCACGCCAAGGTAGAGGTAGAATTCTCAAAGTTTATTGTGCGGCCGGGCTACTCAACAAAGGGAGCACTGGGGGTTGGGCTTAGGGGGCTTATATGGGGTTTTAGCAAGTGTGTTTTAGGGGTTGTGAGATGAGTTGACGTTACAGTATCTCATTGGTGCATAAAATTTCTGGTTTTGGGAAAGGTCCTGATATGGGAATTTGAGTTCTGGTTCTGAAAAAATATCCTGACATAGGATTTTCTGAGTTCTGGTTTCAGAAGATGTTCTGACATAAGATTTTCTGAGTTTTGGTTTTGCAGAATGTCCTAACATAAGGACTTCTGAGTTGAGCTTCAACCTCCATTTTGATGTTTAGCCCATTAAGGATGTTATGCTAGTTCTTTAAATTCTAAACTTTATAACTTAAGTGATAAGGTTTAGAAACTTGACAAGGGAGATTGTGTTATATTTTAAAATAAAACTGATTTCTGTGGATTTTTTGACATGGCAATTTGAAATCCTAAATCTCATTCATAAAATACACGCTCAGGTGAAGAACCTCTCCACTTGGAAATATTGGTCACAGCAGGGTGTCCCATATGGTCCCTGCAAGTAGTTCTTTGGAGAAGTATCTAGAAATCCTTCACTGTAGGTTGTTTGGTTGTCTGACCCACATCCTGGTACATGACACAGTCTGAATGAAACACTGTCCATTGTTGTACAGTTGGTTCTGACACGTGTCAGCACTCTGCTGGGTTTGTTAAGGCTGAAATTGTTATGAAAGGACACTTCCCATCTTTCTCCCATGGAGTGGCTGATGTATTCAAACTAGTGGTCTTCAGGCCAAAGGCACTACTCTACTAGAACTCCTTGGGACATGGACACAAGCCTTAAGTTCAGTAGAAAAGTTTTCAGCAGTCTCTAAGAAACCATCCCATACAGTTGTTGTGTGCCATCGAGTCAGAACCAACTCCTAGCTGAACCGCCCGTGGCTTCTCAGAAGCAGTAAATGATACAAGAGGAGATTGTTCCTCTTTGTCCTGGCATTGGTGTAGCCTGTGCCCTGGCTCTTGCTGCAGGGAGTGTGTGTGTGGTTGGGAAGTATGGATAATGCTGCCGCCAGGTGGAAAACCCCCAAGAACCCAGAAATAAAAACAAGAGTGAACAGAAAAAGTGAAGGGAGTGCTGGTGGCCTAGTGGCAAGGAGCTGCACTGCAATCTGGAAAGTTTGAATCCACTAGATAGATGCTCCACTGGAGAAGGAAGGGCAATCTCCTTCTGTGCCAGTCGAATCTGATTCGATGGCACACAATAACAATAACGACAAAGAGAGGACAGAAAAAGTAAAATCAAAAAACCTTCTTGTCAACAGCCAACACTTAGTTTAGTGGTTGTTAGAATCCTGGATTCCTGCCCCAGTCAGAAAGCTCCTTGCAGAAGTTCAAGATTTGTAAACCATGCCAGAAGCATTCATGATTCACAGCTTCAGCCGTTTCCTTAGTCCATTTTTCCATTTAGTTTATTCCTTTAATTGATACTTTCACTCCTTCCTTTTGCTTCCTTTGATGTCCAAGGTTCCAGGATTATAATTTTTATCTATTATCTCTATTTTCTGGTATCTCAGTTGCAGAATGCCTGGGTACTATCTGCCTAGTCTGCCATCTTTCTGGAAGCTTTAAATGTTTTTTAAATGAATGAAAGTAGCTTACTATGTTTCATTAACTTTGATTTATCAAAGGCACTTAATCTTTAATGTTCATATTACCTGATTATTAAAAAATAGATATTCCACAGAAGTAGCAAAGAGCAAACTTAATTAATGCCACTTTTAAACTATTATACAGGTCCTGAGAGTGTATTATGATCGTCTTCTGGAAAATACAGACCGAAGCTGGCTTGTCAGCTACATCCAGGAAGTTTTGAAAAAATATATGAATGAAAATTTCCATGAACTCTTCCAAGGACTGGACTTTAATAATGATGGGGTCGTGGAAGAAGATGACTTACGCAGTTTAATGTTCTGTGACTTCCACGATCCCAAGAGAGAGGACACCAACTACAGAGAAGTTGCCAATGTGGACAACCTTAGAGTGGTAGTTGAAGCTCACCTAGAAGAGTACAATAATATTAGCAAGAAAACCATGAACCTCGTTTTGTTCCGCTTTGCCATCGAGCACATCTGCAGAATTTCCCGGATCCTGAAGCAGCCTCGGAGCCATGCCCTTTTGGTCGGTGTGGGAGGGAGCGGAAGGCAATCTGTCACCAGATTAGCAGCCCACATGGCTGATTATTCCGTTTTCCAGGTTGAAATCTCCAAGGGCTACAGCAGCACTGAGTGGCATGAAGATTTAAAAGTGATCTTAAAGAAGTGTGCTGAAGGTGTAATGCAGGGTGTCTTCCTGTTTACAGATACTCAGATTAAAAAAGAGTCATTTCTAGAAGACATCAACAATTTGCTCAATGCCGGGGAGGTTCCAAATCTCTTTGCATTAGATGAGAAGCAGGAAATATGTGAGAAGATGCGTCAACTAGATCGTCAGCGAGATAAAACTAAACAAACAGATGGTAGCCCCATAGCTCTGTTCAACATGTTCATTGATCGCTGCCGTAATCAACTCCATGTGGTCCTTGCTATGAGCCCAATTGGAGATGCGTTTCGGAATCGTCTTAGAAAGTTCCCTGCTCTTGTTAACTGCTGCACAATCGACTGGTTTCAGGTATTGCTGAGGAAAACATTAAATTCTTCATTGACATCTTAGCTTTTTGTGTCTTTGTTAGATGCTGTTGAGTTGAATGGCTCATAGTCACCCTATAAACAATTGATCTGCACCTTTTTCTATCCTGCATTGTTCTTACACTCTCCATTGTGCTTGAGCCCATTGTTATAGTCAATGTGCCAATTCAGTTCTTTTTTATCAAGAATATGCATTTTGTGAAATTATATGACTCAAGAAATTATGATAGAAAAAAATAACAGTGGTCAGAAAAGGTCAGATAAGTAGAAATTTGCACACAGATTTAGATTTTTATGATGGTAGGGTGATAATGAGTTGATTTACATGTTGAAAAGATCCTGCTGCTGCTGTATGGAGAATGGTTTGTGGGACTCGCAACAGAACATGAGCAGGGAGATCAGTTAGGACACTCACGCTGGTGACAACAGATAGCAAAGACTTGAATTAAGATAATTAGTATAGATATTAAAGAAAGAAGTGAAAATATTTGGGTGGCATTTAAAGGGGGAAAAGATCTTAAGGGGTTATAGTGGTAAAAGAATCAAGCTGCTAATCAGAAGGTCAGTGGTTGGAACCTGAAAGCCACTTCATGGGAGAAAGCTGAGACAGGATGATTTGTAAAGATTGACAGCCTAGGAAAACCTGTCCTTAGGGGGTGGCTCCGGGTCAAAGTTGGATGTGGTTTGATATTTTTTCCCCTATAGAATTTGATTATGGAATAGATGTAAGGATGAGAAAGAAGTAGGAACACAAGAAAAATTTATGGTTTTGATTGAAAGACTGCCTAGATAGACTGTACTAAGAGAAAGAGTTCAGTAACTTTGAGGAGATATAAATGATGTTTTAGGTTTAACTAAGTTTGTGATGCTTATAAACCATCCAAGAGGTAGCAGGGAGTTCTTTTTAAGATTCTAGATATTAGGGGGAAGATTTGACTTTGAGGACTGTTGAAAGAATTATATGTGATCATATCTATAACAGAAACATAAATAGATATAGAGATAGAAAGAGATTCAATTCCTTTTCCAGCTTATTCCTAGAAAGACTCATAAACAATTTCTTTATTCCTTGAACAAGTCATGCAGATTTGGTATCTCATGTCCTCAGATGAAGTTACTTGGGAAAAATGTCTCCTTCCCCTTCTACCTTATTCCCTGCCGTCTCCAACATCCATAGACTGTAAAGGAATGCTGTAGTAACAAGTTCAAGTTGGTAACTGTGATAAAGTGCTAAGACATTTATCTTCCATTTAGTCCTGGCCTGAAGATGCACTACAGGCTGTTGCCTCACGCTTCTTACAAGACATTGAAATGTCAGAGCAAGTCCGAGATGGCTGTATCAACATGTGTAAAAGTTTTCACACTTCGACCATAAACTTATCAAAGTCCTTCTATATTGAACTCCAGAGATACAACTATGTGACTCCTACCTCTTATCTTGAATTAATCTCTACCTTCAAGTTGTTGTTAGAAAAGAAAAGAAGGTAAAAGTCATCTTTCATATTTCTAAGTAAACAAGAGCAGCTTAAAAACCATAAGGCTGTAATGTTAGAGTGGTTTATTGCATATATGTTTTTGACTGTATGTTTTGTCAAACATTGAATTATTTAATCCACATCATGCATTTTAGAAGATGGTTTGTTCTTCAGTATATAACATCATAATGACAGAAAAAAGAAAAGTATGCTGCTTGGAGCTGTGGCATGGCCTCAGGAGATTTTGACAATGACTTTTGGGGACAGATTTCTAAAATAAGCCCATTTTCTTGGATAAGTAATTAGAGAATGGATAGAGTTTTCTCTTTAGAAACCCCTTGAACATGAGTCAACATATATGATGCAAAGTTTCAATGTGAGCTTCATACCCTAGATAACAGCTTTTATATGAGGAGAAAGACATCTGGGTTGGGGTAAGACTGAGAAAAACTGGATAAATTATGTATACTGTATTGAAACAGATGAGGGAAAGGACAGATTAAAGGCGATATATGATTGGTATTATGGTTATCACAGGAGTCCAGAATGAAGGTTGCATAGTGAAGTGTACTTGGGACAGGGGGAGGGCAATGGGGGAGGATTGAATACCAATGAAGGAATTTTTCTTTTTTCTTTTTAAAGAGAGGAGCGAAATGGGGGGGGGGGAGGCAGGGAGAAAAGTGCAACAATGGATGAATGGAAATCCAGAATCTTTGTAACTGTTCATTAAAATTAATAAAAACAAAACAAAACAAAAATGTTTCTTTGGTTCTAGAAATGAATTCTCAGTGCCTCTAATAATGAAAAATTTATTAACATTAGGCTAGTAGTTTAGAAAATTGTAGTGATCACTTTAAGGTCATCTTTGATTAGTGTTTGATCCTATTGAAAAACTAAACACACTTTTCTATACTAAATTTCCTGCTACCAGTATTAATATAGCATTATCATTTACAGTTTCGTTAGCAAGTAAAAATTATTTAGCTACTTAAATATACATCTATGAAGTTGAAACTTAAGTTCTTTTAACTATTTCTAAGAACTTAATGGGATTTTTATCCTCCTATTTTTCAATTATATAATTTAAATTGAAATTTCATGGCTGGTCTATTACTTTAAAAGGTATTAAATATTGTAAAAAAATTATTAAAAATACACTTAACTTTTAAATGTGAGTTAGGTGAATGTTTATAGAGCAGATTAGTTTTCCATTCTACAGTTCATACACGTTTTGGGTGAAATTTTATGGGTAAAACTGGTTTTCCAGTAAACTTTTCATTGTGTTTCATGACATTGATTATAGTTCTGTACTGTTATATCACTGTCCCCCTGGGTTTTCTGTTTCCATTTCCTTTTCTTTCCTAACCCTTCCTGTCTTCTGAACATTGTTTTGTTGGGCAAAAGCTAGACTTTTGATCTCAAATGGTTGTTGTTCTAAGGACCTCATACCTCACTATTGGTATTGTTCACTTTATAGGCCTTTTGTTTGGCTACAAGTTGAGCAGTCAGATCAGTGGGGGTAACTTGAGTTCCAGGTGAGGGTGACCAAGAGTCATTTTTCCAGGATTTCTACCAGTCTCTGTTAGATTAGTAAACTTGATCTTGTTACACAAATTGAAATTCTTTCCATACTTTTCCACCACTCTCTCTGAGATCTTTTAAGAATTTAGAGCATTTGCTAGTAGTAGCCATATTCCACTTAGTTCTTTGGCCAAAAGGCCATTAAAGGCTAAAGTTTACTTAGTTCATTAGTCCTTTAAACCAGTATTTTTCCATATTTAATTTTATTCATTCTTCTTTGTCCATCTACAGAAAGATCAGTAGTGTACCTTCTTGTTGTTTTTATATGCTGTCAACTCAACTCTAGCTCATTGTAAGTGTAACTTATGTGTTGTGTACCTTAGATGACCATTAATAAATTTTTGAGACTCTGATGCTACTGTCCAAAGTAGGATTTTCTGTATGGATTGGCTGTGTGCTTGACCTTGTTGTTCCCCAAGACTATGATCCTGAGCCCGTCAAGGTGTTTGGTTATGACTAAGAAATTTGCATCATGTTGCCTCTATGCACTATACTACATTCATGAGCATATTTGCAGCTTGTTTAGCACATATTTAGAAATCTCTTCCCTCATAACTATAGGTGTTTGCCGTTACAGTCTCATTCTTCCTACACCTGTTCAGCTCGCATGTCTGTCGACAGATGCATTTGTTGACTATTAGTACTCTTACTGCCAATCTGTATATATAGTATCATCTGCCTCTGTTGCCTTTAGCTCTAAGACTCTTCCCATGTGCTTTCTTTTTCTTATTTTTGCTGACGTCCCTTTCATTGTTTATTGCCTTGCTCTTCAGTTAACTATGTGATTTCCCTCTAGGCCATTTCTGCTTTCATTTTTGTCATAAAGTCCAGACTTTCCAACTCCCTTTCCTCCCGCTTTGTTTCTACTTTTGCATTTCAGTCACCAATTACTATTAATTCATCTTGATTGGATATTTGATCAACTTATGACTGCAAAATTTGGTAAAAATTCAATTTGTCCTCTTTGGCTTTAGCTTTTAGTGCATGTATTTGAATAATAGTCATAGTAATAGGTCTTCCTTATATGCATGTGAATAATACCACATCATGCATAACATTGTACTTCAGGATAGCACTTGAAATTGTCTTTTTATAAAAAAATTGTCTTTAACTATACATGCAATGAAGGCAGAACTAGAATGATCAAAGTTTGTATGTTCAATGACTTATGCATCACAAATACCTTACATAGAAAGCACAGTGACTTTACATATGAATCTCACCAGATGGACTGCATAGGAACAAGATTGATTGTGTCTATGGGGGAAATCTTTTGTTTTTCAAAGAGAGGAGCAAACTGGGGGTGGGGGGTAAAGAAAAAAAATGCAACAATGAATGAATTAAAATCCAAAATCTCTGTAAATGTTCATTAACATTAATAAAATAAAAAAAATCACTGGAGAAGCTCAATATCAGCAGTCAAAACCAGGTCAGGTGCTGAGTGTGGAACAGACCATCAGTTACTCATTTGCAAGTTCACATTGAAGCTCAAGAAAATTAAGTTCACAAGAATTAAGATATGATCAAGTCTATCCTACCTGAATTTCAAAATCATCTTAAGAATAAGTTTGAAGCATTAAACACTAATCATCAAAGACTGAAGAAGTTGTAAGTGACATCAAGGATACCATCCATAAAGAGAGCAAAGGATCACTAAAAAAGTATAGGAGAAAGAAAAAATAAAAAAAGAGAGCAAAAGAGACCCTGAAAATTGCCCTACAACATTGAGAAGACAAAAGAGCTAAACAGAAGAGTTCAAAAGGCAAGTCAGAAAGACAAAGCAAACTAAAGGAATGATAATGATAGAGGACTTCTGTAAAGAAATGGTAATAAAGGAAGAAGTTGAAGGTGTATTGAAAATCCTGGCTAAAAATAAGGACCCAGGAATCAATGAGATACCAACTAACATGTTTCAAGTAAGAGATGCAACCCTGAATGGACTCACCAGTCTATGTTAAGGAATTTGAGGACAGTTATGTCTGAGAGCTGAACAATGAATAAAGGTGACAAAAGAAGAATTGATGCCGTTAAGCTGAGTGTTGGAGAACAGATATGTCTTAGAGAAAGGGCAGAGATCTTGAAGCTCTGTCTCACATACTTTGGACATGTTGCTAGGAGAGGCTGTTCCTTAGAGAGGGACATTATGGTTGGAAAGGTGGAAGGTGAGGAGAAGAAGACCCTCAGCCAGATGGACTGGCACTTGACTGCTGCAATGGGTTGTGGTATGTCAGGAAGAGGGAGGATGGCACAGGGTAGGACAGGGTCTAGATCTGTTGTTCATAGAGCCTCTATGAGTCATATTTACCTTGATGGCATTTAATGAAAACAACAACCCTCTTGAGTTTACCCTCAAGCTGGGTTTAGAAGAGGCTGTGACATCAGGGATACATCAGGGATATCATTGCTCATGTCAGATGGATTTTGCAGAACATAGATACTCCAAGATGGTTTATTTATGTTTTACTGACTATGCAAAGACTTTTGTGTGTATCATAACAAGCTCTAGGTAAGAGTGAAAAGAATGGGAATCCCAGAACACTTGTTGTACTCATATGAAATCTGTACCTAGACCAAGAAGCTGTTGTCTGAACAGAGCAAGGAAATACTGAACAATTTAAAATCAGGAAGGGTGTGTATTAGGGATGTGGCCTTTCACTATACCTATTAAAAATATATGCTGAACAAATGATTCAAAAAACTGGATTTTGAGGAGGAATGGTGTCAGGATCAGAGGAAGACTCATCAACACCTATGTGTTATGCAGTTGGCACAGCCTTGCTTGCTGAAAGTGAGAGGGCTTCAATTGCTTGTCACAGATGCTAAGGACTACAGTCTTCAATATGGATTACACCTCAACAAGAAGAAGACAAAAATCCTTATCATCAAGTTAATTACAACTCACAGTGACCCTATGAACAGCAGACTTGAACCCTGGTCTGTCTTGTGTCATCCTCATGATTTATGACACTCTTCAGCCCATTGCTGCAGTCATGATGTCAATCCATCTTTTGATGTCCTTATTGTCTTTCACTGATCTTTCTTCACCTTTCCATGCTGATATCTCCCTCCAACGAATACCCTCTTCTAGCAAATGCGCAAAGTATGTGGCATGAAGCTTTGTCTTCCTTGCCTTCAATGAGAATTCTGGCTACATTTTGTTCCTAGCATATATCTGTTTTCTCTTTTAGCAGTCCACGGAATATTTAGTGATCTTATTCAATACCAACAAGGCCCCAGGAATAGATGTTATACCAACTGACATATTTCAGCTAACAGATGCTGCCCTGGACGTGCTCACTGAGTTGTGCCAAGAAATCTGTAGAACAACCACTTGGCCAATGGAATGGAAGAGATCTGTATTTGTTCCCATCCCAAAAATGGTGACCCAACAGAGTGTGGAAACTACAGAACAATATCATTGCTTTCAC